CACACCCAAACCATGATTTGGGATGTGCCTTTTCCCCTCTACAATGCTCACCGCGTCCATGAGTTGTGAGTTTACCTGGAGAGAGGGATTTGAGGCAGCCTGTCCCAACAGGACAACTTTCATATTAAAAATTCCTTTCTTCCTTGGCAGTCCTCATTGTCTCAATAATCGGATCTTTGTTCAGCGAGAAACCGCACCTGGGTTGCACACTCAGCCTTCAGGTGTTACAATTCTACCCTGTAGCACCTCTCACTGTTTATGGTGATCTATTTCCTTGTGTGAATATTTGATTAATGTCTGTTTCCTTCCTGTAGGCCAGTGATTCTCAAAATGGGGTCCTGGGACCAGCAGCATCAGTGTTACCTGGGGATTGATTTCTTAGAAATGCAAACATTGTTTTTGAACCAAACTGGGGTCCCTCACCTGGCACAACAAGCCAAACACTGAAGTCAAGAGCTGCAAAGGGAAAGGGGGCTGTATTTGCAAGGTGCCATGCAAGGAGCACGGGCAGCTACGCCTTAAAACCTGAACTCCTTGATGGCTTACAAGTCAGGGTTTTTAAAGGCAGGGGTACAGTTCAGGCAGGCAAAATTGTAAATCAATACACGGAGGTCACACATTGGTCTGGCCCAAAAGGGCAGGATATGCTAAAGTGGGGCTGGGGCGGCACAGGTGGATTCAGAGATTCTTGGATGAGTGGAAAGGAATGATAAAGATGGGTGTGACAGGCCCCTTGGGGGTAATTTAAAACAAAAAATGGCAGAGATCAGAATTCAGTTCCTCAGTTTCCCCTGTGTCCATTTTCCGTAGAGGTGGGTGTTTCTGGAAAAAGCCTCAAGAACATACGTTAAGTTTGTAGAGGGAACCAAAACACCTCTTGACTCTGGCTTGCCCGGAGGATCGTAGTTATTCCCACTCACTTTTTAAGGCTAGCTGGATGCCAAAAACTTCCCTGGAAGGGACTCAAGGTTTTCCTTTATTTCCATGCTCAGGGTGCCTGGCAGGCCCCAAAGAGGGATCCCTGCTCCATCTTAACATCTCAGGTTCCACCCCGATCTACAAATCAGAATCAGAACCGCAGTCTGTGTTTAACAAGCCCTCTGCGTGGTTCTAACACAGCTCCGGGGAGAGACTCCTGCCCTAGACTGTCGACTGCGGGTAGAGAGTGTGTCCGCCTGGTCCACTGTTAGTGCACCTGTGTTGAGGTGAGGCCGGGGCCTGGCCAAAGGTAGAGTGCTGAACACTCGGTTGGCAGGTAAACGGTTGCTCAATGAATCATAAAGCAGTGCTCATCTCTGAATAGCATGAGGCACACTGAATCACTGAAGGTGCTGGGGCAGCAGCTTGTGAGACACCAGGAAGGAGGAGATGGACCAGAGGCTGTGACCCCAACCCTCAGATCCCAGGCTTTCTGGCTTGCTTGCTGGGAACTGGTGCCAGGGCAGACTCACTGTGCCACCATCATGTGAGGCCTGGTAAAGGGGGTGGGAGGGTAACCTTTCCTGAAGAAACCTTGTGCCACTGTGGTCAGCTACCCGATTGGACTTCCTTCCTCACCCTGTCTGTGGACATTGGAGTGGTGGATGCCCATAATAAATAAATAAATAAATGCACCTCTGGGGTAGGGCTTTCCCTCCAGTAACGTACTCCTGCACGCGTCAGGTGCCTGTTTCTCTTTGCGGGGCAATGTGACGCACAGATACACATACACATACTACCATGCCTTCTTTTCAGAAGACGGGGCTGGGGGCCCTGAGAGGCTAGTTCAGTGACTTGCAAAGGTCACACAGAAAAAGCAGCTGGGAAACAATCCCAGGCCTTGTGGGTGCTGTTGCAGCACAGAGAGGCTAAGTCCTGGCCTTAGCCTAGCTGAAGCCGAAGCCCTAAAGGGCAGACCCAGATAACAACAGAGAAAGACACACGTACAGAGCTATCCTAGGAACAGGGAGCCGTGTGCGGCAGGGTGACGGTCCCGACCCTCTGCGGAATGGGCGACAGCGTCCCCATGCGCGTTTGCAGGCGCACCGGTAGGAACAGCGTCCCTAGCAGAGAGGCCGGCGTAGGCAGGGGCTGGAGGCTTGACATGGCATGACAGCCTCGGACAGCCGGCAAAGGTCCAAGAGTCCCACCAACGCAGTAGGCAAGCGGCAGGTTAGCGCGGCGCACACCTCGCGTAGGTCCCAGTGGCACGCGCGCCTCGCGGGCTCCGCCCCCTCCGGGCTACGTGCTCTCGGCCCCGCCCCAGCCCCTCCCTCCCTGGCTGCGCGTGCGTGACCCTGCCTTTGGTCACGCCTACTCCCGGGACCGGCTGCGCGCGCACTGCCCCTCGCGCTAGTGCGCACGCGCGGCCGCAGCCCCGCCCCCCCGTTCCCCAGGCGCTCCGAGCCCGAGTCCGCGGGAAGATGGCGGCGCCGCTCATCCCCCTCTCCCAGCAGGTACGGGCGGGGAGGACTCGGGGGCGGCGCCGGGCGCGGGGCGCTAGGCGGGCGCCGCGGGGAGGCCGACGCGCGGGGAAACCAGGGCAGGCGGCGGTGGCGGGGGCGGCTCGCGTTGAGGGACCTGCGGCGGGCGGGGGTGCGGCCCTGAAGGTGACAGGCCGGCGTGGCCCTCAGCCTCCCGCGCCAGAGCGACCCTCCGCTGGTGGCGACGAGGCTGGGCGCGGCGCGTGTCTGCTGCGCCCGGGGCCCGGACCCTGCTGCCGCAGAAGCTCGCAGGTGGGGCGGTGCACGGCGGCACTCGGCTCTGTTTCTGGAGGTGGGCGAGGGGAGCGAGCATTTCTGTCGGCGCGGCGGCCCCAGGAGTCTTTGTCTCCTGCTGGTCCCGGCGCCCGGGCGGACAGTGTCGCCGCGGGGAGCGGGCGGGGTGGAGGGCAGAGCCTCGCTGGAGCCAGGACTCGCCGGCAGCACGATCTCGGGCTCATCCCTCCCTCCTTGGGAAGCTGCTTCCGCTTTCCCTGCACCGTGCGGAGATCGCACGTCTCCAGGCGCCTCTGTGTCCTCAAATTCGCCTGATGTGCTTACTAAGGGGCAGTATCTGTAGCGCGACACAGACATGCGAAAAAGAGTCATGCGCAGGCTGCTCTGCTTTTTGGGAGGGACTTTCATTCATTCATTTATCTGTCCAGTCCTCAAATGTGCGTTAGGTCAGGTGCTGGGAGCGCAACGGTCGTACAGACAAGGTCGCTGCTCTCCTGGAGGTGACAGTCGTGGGAGCTAGAAATTACCTGCGTCCTGCTAATCAACCAGCTGCCTTTAATTTGCTGAATACTTGTGTTGTACCAAGCACCATATTATAATCACTTTGCTAGAACCATCTAGGACAACATAGTGATTAACAGTGAGAACACAGGGTCAGGTTATCTTTCGCTCAAATCTTGCCTCCAGCTCTTTTTCCTCTGAATGTGCTCTGATGAAGCTCCTAGCCTTTCCATACATCAGTTGCCTTATATGGAAAATGGGGATATAAAAATGTGTTGAGGCTGGGGTGGTGGCTCACGCCTATAATCCTAGCATGTTGGGAGGCGGAGGTGGGAGTTCTTGAAGGGATCACTTGAGACCAAGAGTTCAAGACAAGCTTGGGCAACATAGCAAGACCCTATCTCTACAAAAAATAGAAAAATCAGCTGGATATGGTGGTGCATGCCTGTAGTACCAGCCACTTGGGAGGCTGAGGCAGGAGGATCGCTTGAGCCCAGGAATTTGAGGTTGCAGTGAGCTATGATGACGACACTGGAGTCCAGCCTGGGCAACAGAATGAGACCCTGTCTCAAAAAAGAAAAAAAATGTATTGGGATAATGTGAAGATTAAGCACGTAAAGCACTTAGAACAGTGCCTAGTGCATTGGAAGCACTCAGTGATACTATAATTATTATCATCATTTAATCTCTGCCAGATTTGGACATTTGGGAATAGGGACCACAGCAAGTAAGAATGCCAGAGCTGATGAGAGCTGATTGGCAGGTTGACATGACTGGGCAGCTTATCCAAGGAGAGAAAAGTGTACACCTGTTAAATCTTGCAAGAACTAGCCAATTTGCAACACCGTCAATAAGTTAACAGCCGTAAAGACCGGTGGTTATTAATTAACAAGTTCTTGTAACAGACATGAAAATGCTCTGTAAACTAAGTGCCCTACAGATACTAGGTATCGTTATTAATAGCTAAGTGCTACAGTTTAGGGTGTGGGGGGAGTGAAACTCGCCTAAACTCATTTAATGAGAAAGCATTCTTGTTTTTTTTGGGGGGGGGGAGGTCTTTTTAAAACTTCCTGTCCAGTTTTGACACTAGCCTTAATTTGAACTTTGATGACAGTAGCTAATGTTTATTGAGTGCTTTAGAGTTATAAAATGCTATCTAGCCTGTTGTCACTTACCTGCACAACATCCTGCACTTCAAGGAGGGGATTCTTATTTTACTGATGGAGGCTTAGCTTTGGAGGAGGGTGGTGATTTGCATGAATGTATGAAAACAGGAATCAGGTCATGTGACTCATCTGCTTAGAACCTTTTGGAATAGAATCCGGATTCCTTCCCAGGAACCACAAAGCCCTACCCGCCAGGCACCTGCCAGCCTCTAACACTTCATCTACTTTATGCTGTCCCTGGTCCCCACACTGCAGCCATATGCACTGCTTTCTTTCCCTCCCTTCCATAGTCCAAGCTCTCTTTGTCCTCAGGGTGTCCCCACTGGCTGTTCCTTCTTCCTGAAGGACTCTTCTTTGTTCCCCCCTTGGCACCTACAGTGCCTGGCTCCTTCCCCTCCTTCAGGTGGCACCTCAAATGTCACTCTTCCCAGAGGCCTTTGCTGATCACCTGTCATAAGCAGCACCCCACACAGCTGTCTGCCTCCCTCATTCCACCCCTCAGCACTGAACACGGTCCACAGTTGTGTGTTTCTCTGCCGTCTGTCTTCCTGTTAGACCAGTTAGTTGCCCAATAAGGCAAGGACAGGCCTCTCGCTCGGTGCTCCTGAGCTCAGCTTGCAGGAAATGTTAGTCAAACCTGTGAAGCTGGGACCAATGACTTACACCACCTGGTGCGGTTCCCACGTGGCTTTTCTTCTCTATGTGGGGGCTGGGGCTGTGGGGAACAAAATTGAACCGAGGAGTTGTAAGAAGTGACCAACAGCCTGGATCCTGTGGCTTCTGACAAATTCAGGGTGCTGACTTCTGAGCTTTGTCCTGTTCCTTTCCCTGCATGTCTGTTGAATGAAGGCATGACCCAGTTTTCTTCCTTTGGGTAATTTTGTCAATACTTCTCTCCGCCTGCTCTTGAGTGAAGCTCTGCACCAGGGGTTCCTGTCGGCCCAGGTGTGAGGCATGGCCCTCCCAGGCCCTTGCATTCTAGCTCGGGAGCTCACACAGGTTCACAGGTAATTCCAGGGGAAGCATGGGGATGATTGCCGGAAAATTAATGGTCGGGGGCAGCAGAGGGTAAGGGGCGGTACGCCCTGGAGCAGAAGGCTGTGATCTGGTTGGATCGAGGTGGCAGGGCACAATTGGAAGTGGGCGGCCAGGTGAAGGTGAGTACAGCGCTTAGCAGTGGCTTAGCGGAAGGCAGGAGAGGCTGTGTTTCCTCTGCCCCCGGCACCGTCCATCTTTCCCTGTCTGCTCTGCATACCCGACATCATCCAGGACATCGCCTTCCTTACACAGCCTTTTCTGACCCTGAAGATCAGTGTCACTTTGAAGAGTCTGTACTCCTGCCTCTCTAGGAGGGATTTTTGTTTATTTCTTTTTCTTTTAAAATTTATTTTAATGAGCCCTTAGGATGGCCCCATAAGCGTGATGTTTTTTCCCCATCTCATTGATTTATGTTTCTCCCTGCTCAGCCTCTCTTCAGCTCTCCGAAAAAACCTTCTATGCGAGCACACCCGTGTCCCTTATGCCTTTGTACTCTCCAAGGTTGCCAGCAGCCCCGCCTTGACTCCAGTGGCCTGTCGCTGGAGCTGGTCCTCCCTGAGCCCGGCAACACTGGAGCTGTCGGCCTTCACTCTTCGTCTTCTCTCTCTTTGCTCTCTCTCCTGCCCCCCAGTTTCAGCCTCCCCACCCGCATCCTTCCTCTGTCTCTGCATGCTGCCTCCCCTGTAGCTTCCATGTAGAGTACTCTCAACCTGCCTGCCCCCAGACCCTTCGGGAGTCCAGCCTCGTGTCTCTCCTTTCCCCCGCGAGCCTGCTGGACTCTGGCATTGGCCCCTTCCTGGGGCCAAAGTGGTCTGTGGTCTGTTTCCCTTCCTGCTCAGCTGCTCCCTCTCACTTCATCCCACACCCCCATGGGATTGATCTCAAACGCATCCTCAACCACTCCCCTGCTCCAGAACCCTTCCGCAGCTCCCATTCCCTCCCTCTGAAGTGAGTCAGGCTGGATGAGCCCAAGCCCTGCCTTCCTATGTCCTAACCCTGTTCGGGCTCCACCTGACCGCTCCTCGCTGTCCCGCACACTTTCTAGCCTCAGCATCCCTGGCTCTGTTGCTCTTGTTGCTGGAACGTCACTCACCTGCCCTGGGGCCGCTCTCTGAGGCCTCTTCTGCATTGTCTTCACTCAGCCCCACCTGAAGGAGAGTTCTCTCTCCTGTGCCCTCTGCGGGTCCCCTGTACCTAGGAAGTGCTTGATGATCAGAGGAAAGCACTGGGCTCAGTGATGAGGAGACACTGCCTGGTGCTCGAAGTTCCATCTTCCTTCCTTCCTTCTTCCTGGTCATGCTTCCTCCATCCAGGCGTTTTAGATACATTTTCTTTTTGCTGGGCGCCACCATTCTAGGAGGTTTTTATTCCCATTTACAAGCAAGGATACTGAGACCCACGGAGATTAAGTAACGTGCCAGAGCTGAGGCTGCACCCACGTCTGCCTGTTGCAGCTCCCCACCTTCCAGAAAGCCTGCTGGGCACCCCGCCCAGAGCAGCGCCTGGCCAGTGTGTCTGGCATGAATGCTGAGTGGCTTGGGACATTCGCTTGTCCTCTTGTCCCTTGTTTTTCTCTTTAAAATAATTGCAAGTCTATCTTACTAGAATGCTGATGGCAATGTGGTGCAAATTGATGAGTAGAGAATGAAGTTTTAAAGTAGAATCCATGCCTGTGAGATCCAGAACCCCTGTGTGTGTGTGTCTCTCTCTCTTGTTTTTTTTTTTTTTTTTTTTTAAGAGACCAGGTCTTACTCTGTCACCCAGGCTGGAGTGCAATGGTGCAATCATAGCTCACTATAACCTCAAACTCCTGGCCTGAAGCTATCTTCCCACCTCAGCCTCCAAAGTAGCTGGGACTACAGGTGCTACCACTTTCAGCTAATTAAAAAACAAATTTTTGGGGGGACGGGGTCTCACTGTATTGCCCAGGCTGGTCTTGAACTCCTGGCCTCAAACAATCCTCCCACCGCAGCCTCCCAAGTAGGTGGGAATACAGGCATGTGCCACCACTCCTGGTTAATTAAAAAAAAAAAA